AATAGCCCCAGTGTATTTTTACTCTATGAATATCCCAATTGATAGCTATTTGGGTCCTCACCCATTATTTTTGCTATTAAGATAACTGATATTATAAACATTACTGAATCTTTCCCCTACTTAAGGCCATCTCTAAAATACCAGAGTAGAATTATAGCATATTAGGATATGTGCTTCTTTAATTAACTAATGCCATACAATATTCCAAAACAGACATAACGGTTACATTTTGTGTGAACTTGGCAAGTTTGCAGTGAGATTGCCATTTAAGACAGAACTTAGGTGGTCTGCCCTAAAGTAGGTGGGCCATGTCCAATCAGTTGAAAGCCTAAATACCACAATAAAATGAGCTGCCCAAGCCAGAGATTTCCCAGCAGCCTGATTAGGACTTTATCTGCACCATCCCTTGTGTCTAGCTGGCTGGCTGTGCTTTGTAAAGGTCCCAGCCTCTGTGCTTGCATAAGCCAGTCATAGGTAGGTGGGCAGGTGGGTTAGATAGGCAGATAGAACTACATTGTACTCTAACCAGTCTCTGTCCCTGCACAAATTGTATCCTTCTACTGTGTCTTTCCCTCTGCTCCCTTCATCTTCCTTCACAGCTTCTAAGAAAAGTTTGTAATTCTGCAAGTTCCAGGCCAAACTGCCCTAACTTCAGCTGCCCTGTTCCATTATAGTTTGGGATTACCTCTCTTTCATGTCACGTCCAGCACTTCAGAAACATTGACAGGGCTGACCTTGGTGCTCTGATTTAGCACTTATGGACAAGTTAGTTAAAGACCTGACCTCAGTGCCTCCAATTGTATAATAAAAAACATTATGTCTCCCTGCTATTTCCTAAGTATTAAATGAGATGACCACTGGTGACTGAATATTAAGCACCCAGTAAAAGTTAGATACCAGAATATTTTGAGTGGATCACTTTTTGAGGAGGAATGATTTCTATAAATATAACTGCATTTCTTTTAACTGACAAAGATGTAGGGGGATAGTAATTTTTCCTAGGACCCTATTTCTACCTTGAACTCGGCCATAGAAGGGCTTCTTTTGAAATGTTATCTCCTAGGTTACCTTATAAAAAATTTCCTACGAATTAGTTAAAATAAATGCAACATCTATTGCCATTCAATTGCCTAAATTTATTGCTAACTGAGAAATATTCTGAAGCTAACATATATACTTAAATATTTTTTGTGTTAATAGTACCATTTATTCAGCATAAGATATTTCAATTTGCTCAACTCTGGGTTAAAACTTAATAAAAAATAAAATGAAGAGAAATTGAATGTGCCCTGACTAATGTCTCCTCCTTTGAGGAAGCGGGTGGGGCTCATGTCCTCCAGGTTGTCACTTTGTATCTAATTACAAGTTCATTCCTAGGAAGCCTGAGGTCTCAGAAAGGTCGCAGGGCTCAATATACATGGGCACTCTCACCTCCAAAATCAAAGTGACTCCTATGTGCTTAGGCAATAGACTCCTATAAGCAATGTGCTTAAAGGAGAAAATCTGTATCAGGCACTGAAAACTACAAGTTTCCACACTCAACACATTTTTAGCAATAGCCAAAACAAATATATTAAGAGAAAATGCAACTAAATTCCTTCATCCATTTGAAGCTTTTGTAATCCATTATACAATTAGGATTTTTGGATTCCAAGTTTGACTTTTTTATGGTTAAATAGATAATCAGCTCCCCATCTATGTTACAGAAAAGTGTGATATTTACAGGTCTTGCTTTGCTTTTAATAAAGCACAAAAGGAGAAATCTTGGACATGTTTAATGTAAATTTTGTAATACAATATAATGTTTAAACTCACTATTTTTTCTTTTTGTTTTTTAAAGTAAGGCCTTAAAACCTCAGAATAGGTTAGAATATCCCAACTAGCCCGTTATCCCCAGTCTGTTCTTTAAAAATATCAATGATCAAAGTAACAGCAATGAAACAGGGTAAAGGATAAAGGATACCATCATGAAGAATTCAAGACTATGGGTTGGCCTTGGCTGATTTTATTTGAATTTGGTATGCTTGTTAGTATCAACCCTAAAAGTAGAGGCAACTACTCTGAAGATGACAAGATGTAAAGGATATCCATACTGGTATTAACTAGTAACAGCTCTCAAATCCTACAATGCTTTCAAAGTAAAGTTTTTATAAAAATAGGTAATACTATGTTTAACTAGAATAAGCCGGTGTTGTGGACAAATCTATTGAAAATAACAAGAGAAAACATAGTAACTACGGAAGATCATCTATATTGTGGTTTTATATGTCTTATCCATTGCATGTTTTTCTAGGAAATTATTTTTGCTGTCTTGCTACGACTTGGTTTTCCCTATAATACAGAGAGGATAGATATACATGTAGAAATTCACACATGGGTTTTTTTTAAAAATTATTTACGGGAACAGATTATATAATGAAAGATGTAATGAACAGATACTCTGAGGAAGAGACGCTAAGAAACCCGAGGCTAATTTTGTAGCATTATGATATAAATTCTAGCAATACTATTGTTCGCTGATTAGAATGACATTGGACTGGTTTCTTGAGTTCAGTTTCAGCATATGTAGAGATGGGGACAGCTATCACAAAGAGAATGAGAGATGCGATGGTAGTTATTATTGTCTTCTCTAATTTGGAACTTGAGGATCTAAAAAGCCTTCATCATCCTGTAATGATTTGATTAGTTCTATAATAGGCAATAAGTATATAAAGTGGGTGAAGATGGGGACAACTATTTGTAAGAAACTAGAGACAGTTAAATAGACAGTGAAGATCTCCAGTGGACTTGCTTTGAAATCTGTATTTCTTTTAATTGTTTTTTTTAACTGTTTTGTTCTGTTTTGATATGTTTAATCTTACCCTCTTTGAGATGTAAAACAAATGTGTAGGACTGATAACCATATTACTGAGCTTTTGTTCGATCATAGAGCAGAACAGTTTGTAGTGTCACTTTTTGAATGTCATTCTAAATACTTTAATTCTATAACCTGAACAGCTATTTCTAAGATGACAATGTGTTATCAACCAGCAATTTCTTACCTTTTGTTTTTCTGTAATTTTGTATTATTTCTACCCTTTTTTTTATCTCCATGTATTTTTTTTTTTGTTTCCTTTTCTTTAAATAAAAAAAAAAAAAAAAAGAATTCAAAGCTAGGCCCTCCTGACTATCTGGCCACTGATTTTGAAAAAATGCCAGGAGTTTGAGAACTCTCTCTTTCTAATTAAAAAAAAAAAAATCTAGGGCTGGGGATTTAGTTCAGTAGCATAAGCGCCTGCCTTGCAAGTGCACAGTCATACATTGCATCCCCAATACCAAAAAAAAAAAAAAAAAAAAAAAAAAAGAAAGAAAGAAAGAAAAAGAGAGAGAGAGAAAGAAACAGAGAGAGAGAGAGAGAGAGCTATAAATCTGGATGACAAAATATGCAAATATTCACAAAACTGTTCACACATGATGCTAATATCAAAGAGCAATGAGATGAAAACAGGTTGGTAGACTGACCTTTTCCGAAAGTTTAAGGTAGAAAATGGGGGTAAATTGTAGTGATTATTGCTGCACTAAGGTAACAATTTACCCCCATTTTCTACCTTAAACTTTTGGAAAAGGTCAGTCAACCAACCTGTTTTCATCTCATTGCCCTTTGATAGAAACTGAAATACCTGACCCATGACTAAAATTGCAAAGACTCTCACCACACAAGGCAGAAAGAAGTCTTCTCAATGGAACTCTGAAGAATCAAGCACATGCAGAATGGCTCGCTCAATTTGGACTACACACTAAAAACCTGTAAAATGTACTCGACAAGCATCTGCATGCAGCAATGAATGAGTTTCTTGAGTGGCAATATATAGACTTTAGTAGAGGTTTAATTAAAGGTGTTTTGCTAATTGATGTTTTAAAGCCTTAACCACATACACAAAATCAGTCTTGATCCTCAACTATGTCTAAAGAGGAACATAAGCTACACACAGAGAAATTTGTTTTACCTCCTGATCATTTGCTGTTTCTCAAATAATAATGTAATTTATACCTTAGAGTATTTAAAAATAAAATACTTTATCAAAAGCCATATAATATTCTTTTCTATGTGTCCTTGGACTATAATCTGAATACCAGACAAAAACCACACAGTTCAACAATATTCTCTTCTTTTGACTGATATCTTAAAATATCATTAGTCATTAAGTGTTGGAGGCATACAAAATAATAGTAACAGTGATATATAATCATACCATATAATCTCTAATGATTGCACCAAGTCATTTAAATACATTATCCGTGAACCATTCAACAAAGCAAGTGATACTATTAAGTCCATGTTTATTCAAGAATCTGAGATTCAGAGGAATCTAGCCACTAACACAAGATAATATAGAAACCCAACTTTTTCAAAATACCACATCTATTCACTGTGGTCATTACTAGAATGACCAAACCACAATCAATTGTAGATATAGCAGGAAATACTTCAAGATTTCATTAGACTAGTTCTGCTATGATAATGATCAGTATCTGAAGAGTCCTCTCTCACCAAATACGGATGGAGTGAAAGATGGAGCCACTTCCTGAGCCTTTGTGGGACTCACTAATAATCAGCTAAGGTCATGCAGGAAGACCTTGGAACTCCCTTGGTTGATAGCTGGTACTGAATGCCTGTAATAAAGGGATGGTACTCATGCTGGAATAAAGTGCTTAAAAGGGAGGAGCCAGCTCCTGAGTCCACATAATGCCAACATCAATTTAATCAAGGCTCACATCATCATGAAGACAGTATAAGACAAGACATGAAATTTCCCCTAAGCCTTTGCGTTTGTGAGCTATCTCCACTCAGAAATGACAACACATAAATGAGTCACAGAGTTACTCCATTGAAGCAACAACAACATAAAATCTAGAATTGGAACTAGGGAAAGTCATCACAATAGGATAAAGCATTTTCGTCATTTGGATTTTATAGAATTAAATATTGTAGGTGATAAAAAGAAAACAAGACTCCTTACCTGACTGAACCACCTGTATTGTCTTTTGCCAGGATCCTTGTGGAAAAGTAAGGAACAAGCAGTAATAGGTGCCCACGTCGGCTTCGGAGGCATTATTAAAGGAAAGGGTCATGTCATGGAGAGCCATCGCTGAGTTTAAGAAGTGAACCTTATTTTCATAGGGTTTCTGTATGACCACACCAAGTGTGGGGTGGAATACGGCCATGGACTGTTCCTGCTTGCCCACAATCTTGATCCACTCTGCCTGTGTTAAGTTGTCCATGAAGGGATACACACATTCTAGAGTCATATTCTCAGCAAGGCTGACCATTGTGTCCCAAAGAGTCTCTTCACATAGAGCTGAAATACACACAAATTCAGTTAGACTTGATGATGGAGACAAAAAACATCTTAATCTAACACAATAGTTCACTGACATCACAGTGAAGGCTTGCCGTTTTCCACTGCCAATAGTTGGCATTCGAGTAAATTTTAGTTTTTCTGAACAAGTGACAAATTATCTCAAAAATTTTCTGCCTATCACAATAAGACTGAAAGCAGAGCTAATTCTGTAAGCTAAGGCATAAAAGATTACCTTTGTATACTTGAAGAATAGCCAAAAGGAAAGCAAAATGATCCATCTGTGAAAAACTTTTGGAAGCTGTTCTATTAAAAATAAATAATTTGTATAATGTCACATATGCGTAGGCCTGGCACAAGGCATCATTTCCTTCTTCTTTAATGCTATCAGTTGTCTTCTTTTTCTGAAGTGTGAACACAGGAAAAAGGTCTTAGCCACAAAGGCGAGTTTGCTATCACTCAGATGTGCAAATTTGAGTTACTTTTCTAGCAGGGAAAGAGTTTATTTTCAATTTCTACAGAGAGTCATTCATTCAATAAGCATCTGCTGAGTGTCTTCTCCAGGTGAAATTCTTCTCTAAGCATGGAGGATAGGACAATACATTAAAAACTAAAATAAAACCAACTTGTTGTCATCATGGAACTTACATTCTAGTAGGAGACAGAAACTAAAATCAGCCATATATATATATAAATATATATTCTTATATAGGTATATACGACTTTATATGTATAAATATGTTTAATATATTCAAGGTACAAATTCATAAGGAAATGTAAGGCAGGAAAGCAAAAAGAGGGACAGGAAGTGTGCATCCCTTTTAGATACGAAGCTCTGGGGAGTCCCAACCGAGAAGGTGAAAATGGAGCAGAGACTGAAGTTCAGTGGCAGGAACCTTGTGTCCTTGGTGATGGCAACTACCCAACTATGTTAGAGTCTGTGCTGGCCTATACCAACCTTCTTTTTAGGTTCAGAGATGTGCATTGATGACCATTGTGGAAGGGTCTCCAAATACAAAGAAACGTGACCAAGAGCAACACAATGGACCGCTATGTTTGTTTGTTTTTTTTTTAATTTTTTGTTTTAAAATAAATATAGGGTCAAAAGAATAATAAAATAAATATAGGGTCAAGTTACCTGAGGTCCTGTGCTCCCTTATGCTTTCACCTAGGAAAGGAACACAGAACCAGTTTGATGTAACAAAGACAGCAGGATCAACAAACCCCAAAATATTATCTAAAGTTTTACAGAAAAGTGTTTAATTTGGTCTGATTTCTAACCTGGTATAGGAAGACAGACAGATGTCAAATAAGCAAACATAGAGATAAACACATCATTGCAACATTTTTTTTTTATGTTAAGAAGAGAAACAAGGATGTTTTGGAGTAAAAAAGAGTAACCTGGGCTGACAGACAAGCAGAAACCTTCTTCAGGCAGGGTGGTCAGGACAGGCTCACCCAGGAGTCACTGTGTGCTGAAGCCTGCAGGATAAGGAAGCTGTAGTCATGTGAGGAACATAGCCAGCTGCCAGATGAGCAGTGCAGGAAGACAGCAGGGTGGGTGCATCAAACCAGACACTTGGGGAGCTTTACTGAGTTCAAGCTGGAACAATGGGCAAGATGTGAGAACAGAGCATGACGTGCATGCATATGGGGAGAGATTACATTTGCCTTTGTAGACTTCTTAATGCGATTCTAAGAGCAAGAAATGTGTCAGACGATTTAAATTACTAGGAAGATATGAGCAATGAAAGTACCAGATCTGACTTAAATTACTAGGAAGATAACTGAACATCACCTCTTTCCCCTGCATGCTTGACTCTGTTCAGATATTGCACACCAGAGGATATTAAGAATCTAACGTAGATCACTGACTGCCACGACTGACTTGAGAATTGGAGGAAGCAACCTCGCTCTGAACTGACCCATTCTGAGTGAACATCACACTCAAAAATCTATGCCCCCTTTAATGCAAACAGGAAACAACATTTCGCCAGTTGCTGTAGTCATCTATCCCAAAGGAAAATAGTCTGAGAGAGGCAAAGAGAGGGGTTTAGCCTTGGATCTCAGGTAACAACATTGCACTACTGAATGCATCAACTCCAGAGTTTGAGCAGTTCATGTGATATAATAAATTTGCATATTTTGTAAGTCAATTATACATTTATTATAATTTACATCTGCATATATATGAATTGGTGCCATTATTCTGACTGTCTCATGAAGATAAAGTTGGAAAGGAGGAAGAGAAGGTAATAAATATATAGGACACTATTACCATAAGGCAGCTTGGACTATGATGGTTTCTACTGACAGAAAGCTAAGTGAATCAACTTTCAGAAGATTACCTGTTATCATCTAAATATATAACAATACTAAGTATCCACTTAATTCCACAAGTCTTAAGCAGGGTCAAATCAGGAAAACATACCACATGATTGAATAAAGGGTACTTTGTTAGAGAAACCACTAGAAAAGGTAAGAGAACAAAACAGACAGGGGCAGCAAGCAACCCAAAGAGGTGCAGAGGAAGAATCGAATCCTGCTTGCAGGGTTAGAGTGTCCAAGAAGAGCCAGGACTGCCCACTAGGGTTAAAGGTAAGTACTTAGAGGACCCCTCCAGAGGTGCTGGAGAAGTCAAGGAATGAGTCTGTCAGGGGAAAAAGACAAATGATGGTTAGAGAATGTACATGAAATATATTAAAGAAAAACCCACAGCTAACATGACAGTCAGTGGGAAAAGTCACCCTGGGACAAGAATCAAAAAAAGGATATCAGCTTACACTGATAACTCTTCACATGTATGGGAGGCTTTAGCCAGAGCCATCATGCAAAAAAAGATAATAAAACCACACAAACCTGCAAAGGGAGAGGGAAAATTATTCCCATTTGCTGATGAAATGACTTTGTATACAAACAATTTTAATATCCAATCCATAAAAAAGATTAAAAATTTCACCAAAGTTACAGGATGGAAGATCAATACATGAAAATTGTATTCTTATATACTTATTAACAACACACTTTAGAAAAAAGATTCCATTTATAACAGCACTCAAATGAGTTAAATACTTGGGAATAAATTTAATCAAAGACTTGAAAAATATCACGCTGACAGTGACAAAATATTGAACAAATTCAGAAGGATCCAAATATGAATGAGACATATATTTCCTATATAGTTTAGACATTCTTTGTTCATGAACCAGAAAATTCAATGCTGTTAAGATGCCAATGTTTTTCAAAGAAGCCTCTAAGTTTGAAGCAATGCTCATCAATATTTCAATGACAATTTTATTTAGAAATAGTTCATGTACCACTACAAGGGGCCATGAATAGCCAAAATAATCTTGAAACTAAAAAGTTGGAGAATTCATCTTTCCCAGTTACAAAACAATATAATTCTAGTAGTTGCAAAAATGTGGTACTAGCATAGGATAGACAGATAGACTAATGAAATAGAAATGACAATGAAAAACTAAATCTATACATCTATAACCAAGTGATCCTCCACAAGAGTGCCAAGACAATTCAATGGGGAAAAACAATCTTGTCGACAAACATGCTAGGACAAATGGTTAACCACATGCAAAAGCGTGAAGTTGGATTCCTACCACAGATAGTAAACTAAATTATCTTTAAATATATTGACCTAAATATAAGAGCAAAATCTATAATATTCTTCGATGAAAACATAGAATGAATCTTTAAGACTTGATAATTGGTTATGGATTCTTAGATATGACACCAAAAGTATGGGCAAGAAAAGAAAAATTAATTGCACTTCCCCCAAATTAAAAACATTTGTGCATCAAAGGGCACTTTCAAGAAAGTGAAATGACAATCTCCACAATGAGAAAAAGTACTTGCAAACCACATATCTAAATAGGGTCTACTATTCATAATAGAAGAATTCTTGTATTTCAATAACAACAAAAAAAGACTCAATTTAAAAATGAGTAAAGTACATAAGTAGACATTTCTACAAAGCAGACATACAAATGGACAGAAACCATATGAAATGATACTAATATCATTAATTAGTAGGAAAATACAAACCACAATGAAAAATCACTTTGTACCCAGAAAAATGGCTGTGATTAAAAATAGAGAAAATAATCATGTCATAGAGAATTTAGAACCTTTGTACACTACTGGCGGAAATGTAAAATGGTTCAGCTGTTGTAAAAATCAGTTTGCCAATTCCTCAAAAACTTAAGTGAGATTATCATACAACCCACAATTCCACTTTTCTGTATATCCTAATGAACTGAAAATAAATGCAAAAAAAAAAAACCAACAAAAAAGCCACCTTCTATATAGGAGGTCATAGCACCATGATTTACAAGAATCATAAAGTAGAAACAACTCAACTGTGTGCTAATAGATGAATGGATAATTATATAAATATATATAAATAAATTATAGCATATCCAGACAAGGGAACATTCATCTGCAAAAGGGAGTGAAGTTACATTCATGTTATGATATGAATAAAATTCAAACTGTGAAAGTGAAAGAAACCAGATGCCAAAAGTCATACACGTTAGCATCTCTTTCATTGAACTATCCAGAAGGAAAAGCACAGTGGCGGCAGGCAGGTTGGTAGTTTCCAGGGGCCAGTGGAGGAGGGAATGTGGGTGACCTCGTGAGGGATGAGGTTTCCTTGGGGGATGATGAAGCCATTTGGAACTTCATAAAGTGGTAACTGCAGAATGTTGTAAGTGTACTAAATGCCACTAAATCATACTCTTCAAAATGTTAACTTTATGTAACATAAGTTTCATCTTTAAAAATTATATCTAGTGAATAACAAGAGGGCAAAGGCACCCCACATGCTTCAAATGGCAGAAGGCCCCATGTATCACAGCTGCCCAGTTACATGTAGATGTCGCTGATCCCCCATCACCCTGGCCCACAGAGGCACCCTGAGGCCCACAGCCCATGCAAGAATGGAGCCCCAAGATTCACTGTGTATGATACTTTCAAAATAACAGGGAATAATGCAAGGTCCAAGAGAAAAAGTTTAAGACATAAAAAGCATTAGATGCTTACAGAATGCACTAATAAATGTGTGTGTGTGTGTGTGTGTGTGTGTGTGTGTGTGTGTGTGTGTGCGAGAGAGAGAGAGAGAGAGAGAGAGAGAGAGAGAGAGAGAGAGAGAGAGAGAGAAAGAGAGACTGACTGGCTAGCTGTATGCATGCCTATGTTTGTGTGCATGGTTAGGAAAACAAAGAAGTCCAGGTTGGGTAAAATATAGGAGAAGTACAGGTAGAAGATAAGACGGACGAGAGCAAAACAAATCTATGACATAGCCCAACATATAAATAAAGAGGAAAATAAAAGTTAAGCAATAGAAAGCAGGGGTGCAGAGATTTCTCAAATAGGAAGGGATTAAGAGACAGAGAAATGGGAGGGAAAGGAGATTATAAAAAGGAACTCAAATATTTTATATACTTGTACCAACTCACCACAAGGAATGTAAATGTTATATACTGCAAACATGTATTAAGAAAATGTTTTGTTTTAACTTGTTGTACTAGAGTTTCAATTCACAGCCTTTCACTTGCCAGTCAGACACCTACACCACTGAGCTATATGCCCAGCCCGAAGTTTTAAAAATTGAAAATTAAAAAAAGAAAAGAATTAGGTGTAACAGAGCACCCTTTATTCTCACAAACTCTTACAAACAGGCCACAAAGAACTTCCTCTCCCTTGGCGCAGGCTGTCCCATGTTGGGAGGAGTTTCCTGACCAGGATACTAATCAAGTACAACTTTCCCCAAAGCAGCCAAAGCTGACTCGGTCAGATGAAGAGAATTTAAGTCCCCTTGGATTTTGAAACCCAGAGCTCTAGATTCACAGGAAACACACAGGAAGACTTGTGGCTGAAGGTAAAGTTCATCTGTTACAAGTTTGCTAAGGAGGAGCACTATTATTTATCAACATCTGGCCAAAGACAAATAGAGAATGCTGTTTTGTTGTATTGCATCCATTTTTTTATATGATTTATAAAGGGGTTTTGGCTTGAGGTTTTTGTTTTCCTAAAAGAGCTGTCTGTTTAAAAGAACATTGTCCTCAAAAAAACTATTAATCAAAACATTACTGGGTTTCTCTACTGTTTAAAAGTCTCAACTAACCAAATGAGTTTGAATTTATCTCATGAGTTCCCTGAATTCAGACGTCTAGTGACCTGCCAGACAGTTTTTAGACATGCTGTTTTCTAACTGCACATGCAGAGACTTGTCTGTCTGTTCAGTGTCGGTGTTTCTATTATCTAAAATTGGTTCTGCTTTCCCAGATGTCTTTACCATTTCTAAACTTGGGAAGATCCTCTCCTCAACTGAATTACCCCACCTCACACTGAAACACCTGATGTAGGGGACAGGAATCTGCTCCTCTGAGGTCCTTGATTTCTTTTCTTTGTCTCTGATACAGCAGGCTGAATATATACATCTACTGAGATGCCCCACCTAGTAAAAAGCTCAAGCTTCCAGTGAAATTTCATTCAGAACACCACCGCCTAAGTTTGTACTCCCTGTGCCAGCAAATCAGCAAAAAACAATCTTTCTGCGAAGGCACACTGTGTGTCCTGGAAACCAAGGCACCATTAAAACTTCAGCCAATCACAGACCTGATGCCAGGAGCTACACCATCTCTCAGTGACCCATAAAACCCATTTGCATCCAAATCAGTGTCCATAGATTGTGTTTAGCAAGGACTCTCTAGGACAGAGTCCAAGAAAATGTGCCCCACCAGCTGAGTCAAGCCCATTGTCTGATTCTGCAGCTCATTTAACTGGAGTAAATCTGTTCGCATTTGTTCATTGTTGTCTAAAGCTACTTTGGTGCTATAATGGTGGAACTAAACAATGTTGTCATGGCAGACACCATTTGGCTTGCAAAGCTGTAAATATCAGCTGTGTAGCCCCACACAGAAAACATTTGCCAACACTTACGTAGTATAGTAAATCTTCGTGCAGTCAACATTTGTCAAAGTTTATTCTTACTCCATTTTTCTTGAAAGAAAGCAAGCTAAAGCTAGTAGTGCGGACACTGGGAAAATCAGCTAAATTTCTGTATTCTCAAGAACTATACTATCAGATTTATAATAAGTGTAATTCTTCTAGAGACAGCCTGAAAAGAAATTTAAATGACAACTTTTTGCTAAAAACTACAGTCTTAATTAAATACATAGGGTTATAGAGCATCAATCATTCAGTTAATTGTAGATTTTCCCCATAGCTCTCTTTCCCTGCTGTATCTATTTATCATACAGGGTTACTGGCAGACCCTACCCTTTCTCACACTAGTAATTTATACCATGAAATTGGCCACTTCCTGTCCTTTTTCTGGGAAATTTACTAACCTTGAGATGTGAGGTGCAGCTTGCTCCAACTCTTCCTCCAACTCTGTGAGTTGATTAGGAGTTTTCTGCTTATATGGCCTTTTTACCAACCTCACCCAGATCATTGGCCAACTCCCTTCTGGTCAGGTCAATTGCCAGAGGGCTTTTTTCTCTGGAGACTGCTTCTTACCCAGTTCTGCAGCTCTTCCCTCCCCTAGAACGTCTTCAGGTAGTGCCTGGAATACAGCACTAGTCACAGATGAGGCAAAGATTTTGAAGTCAAGAAGTCTCTCTGCTTCTGAAAGATCTTAACATTTCATCTGCTCAGACTCATTGCAAACCCAGATATTCATGGTTCTGTTCCACTGTTTCCTCCTTACACTCTATGAGTTGTAAGGATTCACTTCTCATAATCTATTCTAACTCTAAATTGAAACTACTAATGTTTGCAAACCCATATTTTTTTCTGCCAATCAAAGCTTTGTATTCAGTAGTCTCTTAAACTCAGGAAGCTTTCTTATCTCTGTTCATATCTAACCATGTTTCTGTCTTCTAGGTTCTCTCTCTTTCTTTCTCTCTCTCTTTGTCTTTTGTCTTCCGTTCTCTGAAAGACAAAATTCACAAACTGGTGTTTCTACCTTAGAAATGCTACAGTTTCTTAGTTATACTACAGGAGAGCAAAGATGCTTTTGTTTATTGGTCTGACCACTAAATTTTGGAAGCTGGTTACATCGTGATGAAGGATTGTGGGTGAAACTTGAGTTCATGCAATTCATAGAAGTCCTAGGAAGGAAGAACTTTATTCGGCAGATGAAAAACGGGTTGTTGGGGTGAAACTGCTCTGTGCATGACTCTGTGTCTCTGGGTGCAGGGCTGGCCTCTGCTGTATATGATGGCAAGTCAGGAAAGAGGAAGGGCAGTGCCTTCCTAGAGTAGCAAAGGTTTATCAGGACTTAGTGTAAGGCTCCTACCTGACATGACCTCCCGGCCCCTAGCCTACTCGCCAGCAGGGAATCCAGCTTGCTGTCATCAACAAGTGCAGGATGTTGTGGAAGAGATAAGATAGGACAAGGAATGTGCAGGTCCTGGGGACACCTAGAGATAGCCAAAAGTTTACACCATACTATTCATTTCACTATCCCAATTGAGATATAAGACTTTCAGAAAATCTTAACCACTTATGTTTATTAAATCCCCACCACCACCACCACCTTCTTTTCATCTGTGTAAAAGGGACACACGTCTCTTAGCTTTGTTGCTCTCTGCCTGTCTGAACCCAGATATTCAACCATATTTCCGGTCATTGTCATAAAAGCCTCTCATGTTGTCTCCTGCCTCTCATTTGTCAGACTTCGAACAGCCCAGAGGCAGCCTTCCAAGCACCCTCCTGACTCATGTCATTCCTTTCAATGATTCACTGTCATTAAGAGAAAATTTAAGCTTCTTATTGTCTTACTGGGCCATTCTGATTGATCTCTGCCATTTTCTCCAATCCCACGTCTCATTTGCTTTCGCTGAGCTTACCTTTTAGAGCCACCTAATCTTTTCTGTCTATACTCTGGTAGGATATGGTGATGTTACCCAAAGGTCCTCTTGATTTGGATGCTCTTTTTCCTCTCCCTTCCTGCTCATCTCAGATACTCCTGATAGGTGTTCTCCTTGGATCTCCAGGACTGGGTTAGGTAGTCCTCCTGTGAGGACCTTGGAAACCCAAATATATCTAAACACCTGTCACTTGTTTTTTTTTTTTTTTTTTAACGTTTATGCACTGCATTTCTTACAAAGTCTTCCAAGGCACAAGTAAAATTCTGTCCACTATCACATCCTTGGAGACTTGCTGGCACAGAGCAGGTGTATAGTAAATATTTGTTGAACAAGGAAGCAGTAACGTTTTTCACCACTCAGCTTTGCAGCATGCATTTTACTAGTTATAGTCTTCATTCCATCTTGCTTCAACTTTCAATTTCCTTAGTAAATAAGACAATACACACACACACACACACTCCTATGTCCAAATCCACATCAATTCTGGGGACAAACTCAAAGACAAACTTTCCTTCCTTGGGTTAAGTATTATTCAGAATGATTCAACAAGTTCTGTCATTGAGTGTGAAGACATGTGCAACTATTTAGAAGAAAACAAAAGACATTTTGGTAGCCACTGTAGATCTCCTGCTGTCTTGCTTTGAAATCTGTGTCACTTACATTGTATTCTTCTGATCTGTTTTTTTCTATTTTGTTTTACTCTCTTTAAAATAAAATCTAAAAAGCAAGTTCTGAATTGATTCACAAATGCTAGTTAAAATAGTCTATTCACATGACTCATAATGCATATATATAGAGATGTTTTAATAAAAGATATATGTAATATATCTATGGCGTCTAGGTATGAAAGATTTTTTCCTGCTACTTGATTCATATAACCCAGATTTGTACAGATCAGAAACTTTTCCCAAATCACTCCATTTTTGTAATCATTTCCTAATTATGCATCCACATTCCAACACACACACACACACACACACACACACACACACACAGTTCCTTCCCTTCTATACCATCATCATCACCCTCACTGTGGCCTCCATCCCGTCACTAAGTCATTACCTTTACTAAGGGGGATGAGTGGGGACAGTTTGTGTTTCTGTGCAGAGGTTCATCGATCCAATTGCCTTAACTTCTTTGTGGAGGATCTTGAAATTTTACAAAATGAAGAGTGTAACAATGAGCTGCTGTAGTTTATGAAGGAGCACTGGCCTCCTGGCAGCATGTATGCACACTTCTTAAAGCCAACAGGAAGTTACATAATCTTACTCAGCAACTAGGAGAATTGTTAAAGGGTCACACGATCAATACTGAACCATGAAACAACAGAAACCAACTGAGATAAGTCAAACTGCCCTGAGTGTCTAGAAAATAGCCCCTGCACATTTCCATGCGGGAGAATGGATGGAGGTGAGCACACAGCATCACTGGGGCAGAAGGAAGGCTTCCACCACACAGGAGGATAAACAAGCGTCCTTTTTCCAGCCTTAGGAAACTACTACTTGACATTACCATTTGTTGACAGAGCTAAGAAACAGCAAAAATCATATCACATTAACTAGCTTTGGTCTCTTTTTCTCTACATTTCTAGGGCTTCAACTCATTGTTCTAACGAAGGGTTAAGAAAGAGACTAAAGCATTTTGCCCTGTTATTCTTGTACAGATTGCATTGCAAAGTCATCCAAATTTTTCTTTATAGAAAACTTAGTCATGTAGTAGGAGAAAACCATCATAAGTGTGTGTTTAAATAAGCATTGTGCAGTACTTATTAAAATAATAGATCAAGACAACACCTAATAGAAAATAAAAAACAGGGCTGGGGATTTAGCTCAGCGACGTAAGTGCCTGCCTGGCAAGTGTGAGGTCGTGAGTTCAATCCCCGGTACCGCGAAAATAAAAACCACCGGGTGAAAATGACTAGAGAACTTCATAATGAAATAAAAGTAGCGGCTGATTGGCAGCATCTTAGCCTTCATATAAACTGTAATAACTCTAAAAATGGTGCAGCTAGATGTGAGGAGTCCTCCAATGACACAGCAGAAAGGAATCAGGGACACTGAGGAGGTGATCTTTCCAGAGTGCAGCCAAGCCCAGAAGTAGCTAGGACTGTACAAATATTGCAAGCAGTAGATGGCTGTGTTGAAGGACACACATGGAGGCGCTTATCTAAACACAGAGAACAACGGGACCCTAGAACAAATGCCCTAGGTTCTTCAATCAACAAGTGACCATTACGATTAACACAAGAAAAATCACTTAACTTAGTGAATGCTTTATTAGTGAACGCTCCTGTTGCCGGGACACAGTACTGTACATCTATAATTTAAAGAAGAAAATGCTGCATTTGCTCACAGTTTCAGTGGGTTTAGTGCATGGTCAGCTGGCTTCAAGGCAGGAACATCATGCTGAAAGGGCATGGTGAAGTGAAGTTGCTTAGTTCCAGGCAGCCTAATGGGGGAACAGTGCCAAAGAAGATGGAAAAAGCCAGACATAGACCCCCAAATTATGCTTCCATGACCTACCCAGACTCATCTAGAAGAGTGCTTGCAATCCCCTTTTGAGGTTCTATGTTAGTTACTTTTCTCTCGCTGAGACAAAATGCCTGCTGCCAAAATTGAAGAGGGAAAGGTTTATGTAGCTCATAGTTTGTAAAGGGTTTAATTTATAGTCAGCTGTCTCCAAACCAGGGTGACATGCACAGGGACAACAATTCAAGGTGGCAGAAGTCAGCAGAGGCAACAAGAGTAGAGAGGGACACATAAGCCTCTTTTCCTCTCTTATATTGGAAGCAGGCTACACTCCTGGGAGGGTAGAATTTGCACTATCGCTGTGTCCTCTTACACAGATACGATGAGACCTGGGCCCTTGTTAAGCAGCTTAGTTAAACTTCACAACCTCTCAGGTTGACAAAATGTACAGACCATTACAGGTTTCGAGCCAGTAAAGTTGGCACTCCCCGCTAACTACCACAAATACCAAAAGGGCACTTGATAGATTTCTTTCCTTAAAACTCACAGCAATTTTGGAATTTCTTTAGTGTGATTAAAATGACTGATCAAAAACTATCAGCAAACTAGGTGAGACACTAGAAAAAATTTATTAAATTCCTAGAAAAGACAAGAATGACCATGATCACTACCAACATTTAACTTATTCTAGAAGTTTTAACCAATTATAATAGGAAAAATTTTTTTAAATGGAGACTGGAAATGTAGCTCAGTGTAGAGCTCATGTCTAGCATGTGCAAGGCTGCAGGTTTAATTTCTAGTACCACACACACACATGCAAAGAGAATTGGGAATTACAAATCTTGAAAATTATCTAGTGATAACTTAGGAGATACATAGACAAAAAAAAGATACATTAATTGGTGGACAGCAATAACTGTATGACTCGATTGCTTTTCATGTCATATCCACAACTGAAGCAAAAATTACACATACTTGTGTATTATAAAGGCCATAAACATGTACGTGTGTGATAGCTTTACCTACCTAACAACTTAATGAGCCTCAGACATGCGTAGGAATCAGCAAAAGAAGTCTGTTAATTCTGTCAAAAGTAATAAAAGGGCCGGGGATTTAGCTCAGTGGTGTAAGCACTTGCCTGGCAAGCACAAAGTCATGAGTTCAAGATGCAGCACAAAAAAAAAAGTAATAAAACCATGTCTTGAATAAATAGAGTTGCACTCTATTTTTTTTCCTATGGCAAAACCCACTTTGGAAGTACAAGAAAATTTTATTTTTAAAACCTTGTAATCTTCTACAAGCAGGTCAGTGCTTCTCCCGAGGGTCTTGCTAACTATACTCCAGTGTATGGGCCAGGCACTGACAGCGGGAATCAGGGTACTTTTCCTCAGTTCCCCGTGATATTTGCATTTGTGAACATTCATGGAATGAAAGTACTCTAATTAATAAAAGTGCTGTTTAAATTTGTAAGAGTAGCAAGCTCATTTTTACAAAGTCAAGTGGGATATCCAGTGGGTGGTGTGTGTGTTTATCCAAGGGTAGGGAAAACATGATAGCTTTACTTACATAGCAATTTAAAATTCTAGCATGACATACTCACTAACAAAGCAAAAAGGCAGAGGAACTTGGAGGGCAATACATAAACATTATGAAATAAAAGTATTATATTTTCTAAATATAAAGTGCTTAAATGCTAATAAAACCTACAAATGCCTCAAAAAAGTTGGAAACTGGTTTTAAACATTCACAAAAGAAAGATTATGGATGGAAAAATAAAAAAGATATTTACTCCCAGCAGATATAATCAATTCAAATTAAAGCAATGACTTGCTAACGTTTGGTGATCAAATTTGCAAATATATAAACATAATTTATGACAGTGACTCTTTTTAAGAGGAGCAGGTAGAAATATAGATTGCCAAATGCTATTAGTAGAAGTACAAATTGATCTAAATGTTCTGTGTGTTTACAGGTTTATGCAACATACATGAAACTTCTCCTCAACTCCAGCAAGACCACATCAAGATATTTGTCCTTAAAACAGAGTAAATTTCATAAATGAAATTCAGCAAAGAAATATATCTAAAAATCTAGAACGTGCATTATAGTATATGTTCATTGATTAGAGTTAAAAACTACTGTACTGACCTTTAGTGGACCAGTTGAATTCAGCATGATAAATCCACATGATGTGATGCTTCAATGCTCTGAAATAATATTTAAATATGTAACACATTTGCAAGACGCTGAGTGAAGAACTTTCTGCAGCACTCATCACCCCCAGACAGTGAAGGAACCACTGTGAAAAGGTCTACCCCACCCTGGAACCCACTCTACTCATCTCTGGGTTTTAGCCTGCACCCTTCACCACACCCTGCACCCTTCACCACACCGCTGTGGGGACATTGTCTTTTACTTCTTCCTCTGCTTTTAGTATCTGCTCTCTTAAGGGTCTCAAGGTTTTAAAGAAATAAATACTTACACATTCTGTTTGGAGAACCCCCGATTTTGAGTATCAGACTAAATAAATGCTAATTTCTTCTTTGGGAATGTTTTTCAAAGGATATCAAGAAACCGTAGCCAGCACAAATATAGAACAGAAAAGGACTTGCAGATATCTACTATCTCCTTCCCCCAGTTCCAGCCCCCGGACACAGCTCATTATATTTCCCTCTGTTCTCTTCAGTCCTTTGTGTGGTCACTCTTTGGTCCCTCTGTACTCCTCATTGTGGCCACTTAGTGAAATCAGCCACTGTCATGACTCAGGTTCAGGTCAGGGTCTGTGTTCCATTGGCTGTTGGACCTCCAGCCCTCACCCCAGAAAGAGAAGCTGAAATCCCACCTCCTCTGCCCGCCTCAGGAAGGCAGCTCCTCCTCCTGCTGCCTTGGCCAAGTTGCAGTCCACCCTTGGTAGGACCAGTGAAGACCTTTGCATGTCATTGGTTTTGCAGATCTCAGAATCAAAGCCAAGGTCTTCTATATGTGCATGTTTGGTAAGTATTCTATCACTAAACTTCATCCCCAGCTCTTTTTCATTTTATTTGGAGAGAGGGTATTGGTAAATTTCCCAGACTGGCTTCAAATTTGTGATCTCCTTACCTCAGTTTCTGGACTTGCTTGATTCAAGAATGAACCGTCACACCTGGCCACAGAACACTTCAACACTACACGTTCTGCAAAGGTAATTTTCCCTCCCAGTAGTGCTCATCTCAGATTATTAAAAGATAATTTTATTTTCTAATATGGCAGAAAATCTACTAGGTTTCTCTTTCCCCTGAGAATTTCTGAAATTTTGTCATTTTCCTGCTCTTCTGGAGCTTTGCATGTATTTTCATCTGCAGTTGTGTAGTTCAGTACATAGCTGAGCTATTCATTTAACACGTACACCACAGCCCTTGTTCCCACAACCCAGGCCCCTGAGGGAAGGAAGTGATTCAGGCACCACAATTCCTTCCCTCCATGAAGTGGAACATGAAATCAAGTACAGATGCTCTCTATGTAGCTGTGGTCATGGATCTCTGGCTTCCCAGGACAGTTCCAATATATGTTGTTGAACTGGTATATTAATCAGCCTCCCACTTTATTCTCAAATGTGTCTCTAATTGAATGATACATGTTAAGGGCAGCTAAGAGCCAACTACAGGAATGTGAATTCTCATCACCCAGTAAACCTTTCAGTCTTGAGAAAACCAAGGTCATCCTTGCTATAGGAGGGAGTAAGATCACTTGGGTCCTGTGCATCTTTCCTTTGGTCAGCTCTTCTGTGCCTGTGATCTCTCTTACATAGCCTTAGTCAAGAGCACCTTGATTTATCAGAAAGCTGCCAATGATGCTGACTGCTAAGGAAACAGGACCACAGCCCCTGTCTGCCTTTGCCTGGCATGTATGCACTCACTGAAAGGTTGCTGGCTGTTTTGATCAGCTTTCTATCACTGTAACCAAATACCTGGGAAAACAACTGAAAGGAGGAAAGGTTTGGTTCATGGTTTGGGAGGTTCAGTCCAGATCAACTGGCTCCATTACTCCATGGCCTATAATGAGGCAAAATAATCATGATAAAAAGGGCATTATGAAGGAAATCACTTTATGGCACCCAGGAAGCAGAGAGGAGAGAGTAAGTGAGCAGAGGTCAAAACTCTGGTACAGTATAGTCCTCAAGGGGACGCCTCCATACAGCCTTCCTTCAAACAGGCCCTTCCTCCTGTTTCCATTACTGCCCAATAATGCCATCAAATTAAGATTTCATTGGTAGATTAATCCATTGATGAAGTCAGAGCTCTCTTAATCCAATCTTCATATCCCATCTCTGAATATGGTGCATTGAGGTTCAAGCCTCAAAACATAAGTTTTTGAAGGATACTTTATATCTCAACCATAGCACTTACTTTGCCTTTAAAGACCATGAGACCCTGTAAGCTAGCTGGTTCAGACAGCAAACAGCCATTGTAGAGCCTAACATTCAGGCAGTGGGTACCTATTCACCTTTAAAGAGATCCACCGGGGACAAGTAAGCTATGCTTATTCTGAAAAATAAATCCAGCCCTATGTCATGGTTTATGTCTGTGTCCCCCAGGCCTCATGAGTTTGAATTGTGCATTTGTTATTCGTTCATTGTATAGTGCTTGGATTGATGGTGTTAGTGCTACACCCACTTAGGGGTGGAGCCAGGATGTGATGTAATGGCAGGAGGAAGCTCTCTTGATCTTTGCTAGTTCCTGTTTGCTGTTGGTGGTCGCCATGAAAGGTGGCCCAGCCATGCCTGCCTGCCTGGGAGCCAACTGAGTGTGGACTGAAACCTCCAAAAACTGTAAGAAATAAACCTTTCCTTTCCCAACTTGGCCATCAGGTATTTTGTCTCAGTGACGAGCATAAGGTAACTAAGACAGAAATTGGTACCGAGGAGTGGGGTCATTTGCTGTGACTATACCAGGCCATGTTTTTCAAGAGTCTTTGGAAATGGCTTGTGGGCAGAGCTTGGAAAGATTTGGACATGTTGCCTGGATGCATAGAGCTGGAGCAGCTAGGCTGTTCTGTAGAGGAGATTCTGGTCAGAGCTCAGGAGACCAGAAGGCTGATAGAAAGCCTCATGGTAAGGACCAGGATTGAGAGGTTTCTGCTGGGATGAAGAACTGCATTGGTCATTGGACTCCACATGATGTGTGTTATGGCTTGGCAGAAAGTTTGTCTGCATTTTGCTCCTGCCCAGAGACTTTGCCTGAGACTGAGACAAAGGTCAATGGACTGATTGATCTTGAAAAAGAAATTAAAAAGCAATCTAAACTTGAGGCTGTGGTGTGGCTATTGTTGGGGGCTTTCAGCCAGCTTTATGTTTCAAATCAGGAGCAAAGAGCCCAGCAGGATAATGTACAATGCTGTGCGTTTGGCCAGAAGGAAAATTCCAGGAAGGCTGTGGATTGTAAAGACAGAGTTGAGATTTTGATTATGAGGAGAAACAGAGAGATAAGAAAGATGGCCCCGGGGCATCCCAGGAAGCAGGTCCCCACCCTGTGCAGCCTCACAGCAAAGATGAAAAAATTTGCTCAGAGGGAAAAGCTGCAGAGCTCCATGTTCCAGAATGGCAACAGTGGCCACATGAAGTTCCAGAATGGCAGCAACATAGAGAAGCTTTTTCTCACAATCAGGTAAACAGAGCCCTGCGATCCAGGCAACTGACCCCTACAGCCAAGAGAGAGAAAAGCTTGGCTTCTGCTTCAGCTAGCAGCAAATCTTGGCAGCATCCACAAGGTGCTGATATTAGGTACAAGGAAAATGCACAAATTCTGAGGGTAAGATGGCTTCCACCTTGATTGCAAAGGGCCTGGCTGGCCAAGCAGTGTGCCCCTGAGAGGGCAATTTGTGAAGATGTAAGTGTGAAGCCGAAGGTGCAGTGGAGACCCCAGAAGTTTGGAAGCCAGAAATGTGGATGATCCAAGGGAAGCTGCAAAAAGCGAGCAGAGAAGATTTAAGAGAAAAGCTGCGGGAGTTGAAATTGCCAGAGGTGCCCTGAGGGTGGAATCACCCAAACCTTTTGGAGCTTGCAACCAGATTGCTTCAGATGCTGAGTGTGAACCTCTAGGACTTAATGTTTGCCCTGCTGGATGTTGGAATTGCTTTGTTTCCAATACTTTATATTCCCCTGTTTGTAACTTTTGGAATGGTAATGTTTATCTTGTGCCTTTGCATTTCAGAAATGTTTAACCTTGTTTCATTTGTACAGGGGCTTACAATTAAGAGTTTGGAGGAGACTTTGGACTTGGACTTTTCAGCAATGCTGAAGATGTTAGGACTTTGGCAACTCTTGGAGGTGGACTAAATGTCTTTTGTATAAAGATTGTACATGAGTCCTGGGGACCAGGGGTGGAATGTCATGGTTTATGTCTGTGTCCCCCAGGCCTCATGAGTTTGAATTGTGCATTTGTTATTCGTTCATTGTATAATGCTTGGATTGATGGTGTCAGTGCTCCACCCACATAGGGGTGGAGCCAGGATGTGATGTAATGGCAGGAGGAAGCTCTCTTGATCTTTGCTAGTTCCTGTTTGCTGTTGGCGGTTGCCATGGAAGGTGGCCCAGCCATGCCCGCCTGCCTGGGAGCCAACTGAGTGTGGACTGAAACCTCCAAAAACTGTAAGAAATAAACCTTTCCTTTCCCAACTTGGCCATCAGGTATTTTGTCTCAGCGATGAGCATAAGGTAACTAAGACAAGTACTATGCAATAGACTGAGAAGAGATCAATGATTTTTATAAAACAAATAGATCATCCAATATATAAATTAAAATTTTAAATTATTTCTAATATCACGCCATGTTCTATGAAAAATTGTGCCATTTATCCTATTTTTATGTCTTCTTGGGACCAAATCACTATTTAGGACACAGAATGTTTAGTGCTCACACCAGGACAATTCTAAGAAAACCCAGGGTGTTGGTCACCATAGCCATGTCACAATGCTAAAGCAGTGTCAGCATATAGCAAGTGGTCAATAAACAATTATTGACCTAACTATAGTCTTAACTTTAATTTTTCAGATTTACTCTTAGAATTAAAGTGCATTGGGTGCCAAAGTACATAATAAGACTTTGACAAATACTACTGTGGACTCAACAATGAAGTTTAAGGTCTTTTCCTGCTAGACTCTGACTTCATCCTAGGAAGAGACAGGAGGTTAGGGTTGACCAGATGTACCAGCTTGTTTCTTGGCCAAGCAGCACCACTTTCTCATAAGGTCTCCCTTGTACTTCAAGGTTGAAATGCTAGATTCTGCATGTATCAGAATCCCAGTAGCAAGATTCCAAATTAAATTCTGACAACAAAAGATATTTATTTACATGATAGATGTAGATCAAAAGGATCTAGGTTCCTTCAAACACATATTTCACAATTTAAATTGGATAAATTCTTGATTCTTCTTAATCTTCATCTGTGGTAGGCAAATGTGATGGCTTTTCAAGTAGAAGGCTTGAAGCAGCCTGCCACCAGGATCTAGAGAGAGCTGGAGATAACTGTGGATGGGCTGAGGAGCAGTTCTAACTCCTTAAAATGTCAGTGTCAACTTGAACTCAGACATCTTGTGTTAGTTAACTACTCTGTGACTGGAAAAAATACTTGGTAGCCACAACTCAAGCGAGGAGAGTTTTATTTTGGCTCATGGTTTCAGAGAGGTCGGTCCATGGCCACTGGTTCCAAGCCATCATGGTGAAAGTCATGATGGATAAAATTGTTCACTTCAAAGCTGCTGGGCAGCAAAGCACAGAAATCTACAATGAAGAAGCCAAGGACTAGACATAGTCCCCGAGGTCACACTTCTGTAATCCACCCAGATACACACAGGACTATGGGTCACTAATCTCTCAAGTCAATCAAATTGACAATCAGTATTAACCAGCACACCACTCAAGTTGATATCTTTAAAGATTCACATTTGCAATTACCTATTCCTTTGACTTAAATCTATTCTGTTTAAATATCTACATTTATTTCCATTTTTCTGACTGATTCCTAATTAACCTCAGAGCTAACAAATTTTGATCACTACAGCTAGTGAAAGAAATGTTATCCTGGCTGGTGAAAAGCGAGCCAGAGTGTGTATGGACACCCCCAGGGGCCCCAGCACCCAGCTTCTTTCTCCATCCCCCTCAAGGCTGGCAGCAGTTCTGGGGCAGCATCTTCAGGAAAACATCT